ATACATTTACACTGGGTTGTAATCAAAGTTGGCCAAATAACATTATTCAATGTAAAAAGAAACATGCATCATCATCATCATTTGTACGAATTGAAGGACCACAATTCATAAAGTTCAATTTATTTTCCCTTCAAACCCATCAAAATTAGTTCCACCAAAGCTTTCCTTGCATTCAATATTTGGCTGAAAAGCTCGTTTCATTTGAAAAGGGATATATATTTTTATATTCTTTTCTTCTTAACATCATTCTTCTCATTTTAAACATTTCGAGCTAGTAGAGCTATGTTGTTGACGGGACCTTCAATTTGGAATGATTGTCTCCCGTCTTTTTTATCTCCACTCTTGGGTAATGTTTTGAGAGGTGGTCTCTGTTGAATTTTAATTGTGTTTCGAGCTGACTATATCATATGCTACCCGAGTATCATATATTCAAACTAACTCTTTTAAAAAAAAACGAGCCGACTCAACTCAGTTTGTTTGATTTACAAACAAAAATGTTAGCTCAAATTCGGCTCGCTTGTTTTAAATATATCCTAAATCTTAAAAATTGTTCACGAACGAAACTTAGACATGTTTTATAAACAAAATTTAATTAGTTGTTCGAGTTTAACTTTTTGTTTTCTTATGGATATGAAATAATTGAACTCAAATTTTCATAGGTTCGCCAGCCATTCAATTGGAACAACAGTTCCTAAACAGACACAATGAGGTTCAATAATTATACGTTTAATAAAATAACAATTTTGGAATTTATATGAAAGATGGGTTATTATTTTAAATGATGTTATTATTTGGTTATTTTTTAAATAGTAACTATTTCCTGCCAAAAAATCTGGAAATTATTTAAGCATTTATGGTATTTTAAAAATACATTTTAGGTAATAATTAAAGTAATAAATCACATAAAAATTTCTTTTGTATCTCAAGATATTCATATAATATATTTGTAGCTATAATATCGAGATTTATCACATTCCTAACAAACATTAAATTTACTTATATAATTTTTTATTCACATCAATAAATAATATTAATATACATTAAATATTTATCATTATATAATAAAAAATATTACTTCTATAAATGATATAACTAATATTGACATTATACGACAATAAATTTTTGAACAAAATAATATTTGAGTATTATGATGAACTAAAATATGTAATTTTTTTTTTTTGGTATTAAAAATTAAACATATATGTTAAAATGTTATTTATATTAATATAGACGTATCAACGGGCTAATACATTGTTAAAATAATTTTTTGCAAAAATATTTTAAATTACGAAATTCCCGTGCATTGCACGGGATTCTCACTAGTATATAAAAAAATAGTTGATTAATTTTTAAACAGTAACTATTTCCCACCAAAAAATGTTGTTTACTAAATCTGGAAATTATTTAAACATTTTAAGGTATGTTTTAAAGGTACAATTTAGGTAATTGCTGATTGATTTATTATGGTAGTATAAATCACATATATAAATTTCTAAGAGCATCTACAATGCATTGGGTCTAGTCTTGCCTATTTGATATGTAAATAAACCGAAGTCTTTGATGACATGGATAAAACTATGTAAAATTTATAGAATTCAATCCAATACAAGGAGACTAGGGCCTTGTTTGGTGATCAGCGGATAGCGGATTGTATTAGCGGATAGTAGATAGCGGATTATATTAGCTGATTTGACTAGCAGATTGCATTAGCAGTTTTTAAATAAGTGTTTGGTAAATAGCTGAAAGTTTATAGCTGTTTGACATTGTAAATTACCAATAAAGACATTTTATTATTTAGGGTGTATTATTTTAATAATAATAAATTAAAATATTTAATATTTTTTAGTTGGTAATTTATAAATATATATATATATATATTTTTAAAAAAATACTAACAATTGATTAAGAAGTTATGAATTTTACATTTTTCTAGAAAAATTAATCGTATGAAGACATATTATTATTTGTTAGCATCATAAACCAATGTAGATTGTATAAAAAATAATAAAAATTAAAAAGTTCTAAATAAAAATTGTAGATTATGAATCCTCTATCCCCAAAAAGCTCTTCTAATGAGCTTTTTCTAAATTAGAGTTTTGGGCCTAAAAAGCTTATCAAATAAGCTATTTACCAAACAAACTCAATAGCGGATTTGACGGGTCAAACCTCTCAATTAAGTCTAATCCGCTAATTTATCCTCAATCCGCTATCTTCCAAACGGGGCCTAGGTCTATATTTGGGTCTAAAATAGACTTAAGTGTAGACCGAGTCTTTTTTTCTGACTGCCACATCAACAAGACCCAGTCTACATTTATTTGCATTGGAAGATATATTTTTTTAGACTGGGTCTATTTCTTAGGTGATATATAATTTTTTATGGTTGAACCCAAAGCATTGTTGATGTTCTAATATGTCAAGATACACATTTTCTAAGACACTAATATTTGTAACCCCTTGGATTTTGCAATAT